GATTGGTCCGTTCATCTTAATAAATTCCCTTTGTTCGAAATTTCCTCAGCTCTTACAGTTATAAGCCCAGCGCCATAAGATTGTAGATTGGTAACTAACCACTTTCCTTTGTAGACTCGTTTATGCGAACTGCTCCTCAGTCCCTCCACTAAGGTCCGTCCCTACGTGCCGAAAAATCCTGTGTGCCGAAAACGATCAATCGGATCGCAAGAATTATGGACTTCTCTCTAACCGTCGCGATCTGATTGATCGTTTTCGGCACACAGGGTTTTTCGGCACGTAACTAGGGACGGACCTTACCAGATCAACTCTTAACTACATTTGCACGCTGCAGTCACTTGTTCGCCCAAGGTTAACAACCCTCGAATTGTAGCAGCATAAAACATTACCCGCTAAAACGCACACTTACTGGTATGTACCAAGCTATCACACGCGGTGTAGTTACTTTTGTCGGCGTAACGAAACCAAGTTTCTGACGAATCATGATCTGGGCAAACAAGGTTCTAGAGAGCCCCAAAATGCACGGGCGTTCTACCTACTGCTATAAATCCAGCCATGCCGACTTCTGGACTAAGCGTCTCCCATAAACGAGCCGTGACAGTCGACCTTGCACCATGACCAAAGTGCCTTCGAAAAACTTGCTCAATAGGCTTCGACACCGCGAAAATTCTCCCAGTTAGCTCCGGGACCAGCTCCGTCCACAACACGCCCTTCCCTATCCTGCTAGATCATACAGCACCCGACATTGATGCGAGCCGTTCATATCGCGTCGGATCTCACGTGCTTATCTCTCCACCGTTTGATGTAATACCATCACACGCAATACCGCAGTGGGATGATTCTGAGTTCTAAGAGACGGCATATAAAGCGTTGAAAGATGCAAATTTCTATGTATGCGGACAATGGATCATTAAACAATTCAGACCAGGAAATGACATCGGTAATACACCAGCAACCCTACCAATCGTGTCTGGCCTTACTCTCAACGGTTAGTATAATTGTTGGAAAGCCGGATTCAAAAAGCTTCGACGGCTGCTCGACACGGCAGGACTCGAACAGATGCTCATCGAGATCATTGACAGCAGAGCCGCCCTTAAGTTCTTTGCAGGTCTCTTACTTGAATATACACCAGATATATCTGCATGCTGGCAGAACTTTTTAGCTGCATTGCTCGGTGAGATCACAGAAAGGGACTGGCTTGCTGTTGACACTGTTGTGCGAGAGTTTGGGGTCAAACATCCGTTCACAGTCCTTATAATTTTGATTACGACAAGAGATGCCGATGACGAGATATGGAGACAAAACATATTTCCAAGGTTGCGTAGCTCTCTACCACAAGACTTGGACATCGATGTCTTCTACGCCTCTGCCTTGTCATACATGTCAGGCGAGAGCTCAGACGAGGAGACAATTGTAGAGAAGTGCAGCCGACCAGCCATTTACAGCACCATGGCAGATTACTCCGGCTTAGTGCAGATGGGTTCTAGCATTGGATTAGGCGAACCAGCCAACTCTGCTAGTTACAGTTGGTGCAGTGATCAAAGTGCGCGACAGCACTGGCAACGAAACTATCTACGACTTAATCAACTATTATTTTGTGGCTAAAGAACCCGGCTTGATATCCAAAAACCGTCCCATTGGCACGAATTTTGGTCCCGATCATCCGATTTGCTGCGTTGGCCAAGTAAAAGTCATTGCTCCGTCACATCCCGACCACAAATGTCTTTTCAATCTTACAACGATGCATTGCAATGATCTTAGTAGCCAGGTGGCTGAACTAGTCAGCTCGCGATGGCGGGATAGTGGCATGTATATATAGGCAACCAAAATGCTTGCCCAACTAACTAGTTAGATGCAGACTGAACAATGCTCAACGAGAACCCCGATCGACATTTTGGCACTGTGTGGGCAACCTCCGGTTATCGCATCTGCGACAACGCAAGTTACTCAAAAGCTGAGAAACTGAGTTTCTCTACCATAACTAAGACTAGCATTAGACTCTAGACCAAGAAGTACTCAAACTTCCACTTCTACTCCATACTACGAGCGGTATAGAAGCTAATTTGGCTTTTATTACTAGCACGAGAATAGGAACAAGAAAATGGCACCTAGGCCAGGAAGGCTAGAAAGAAGAAAAATAAGAAAAACAACAAGAAAAGAAGAAGAACAAAGAAGAACAAATCTGATTTTATTAGCACTATTTCCTATCCCCTAAGAGAGCTCGCTAGAAGGCAGCCCAGGTGCCCTATATCTCTCCCTGTCACCAAACTGCTCTTTAGCACCAGGCATCTACAAAGCTAGTTATAGATTAGCTAGATAAAGGCCGAAGCACCACAGCCACGCAATACAGCACAAAGTACTAAATTGTAACTAGTTAACGTACATCCATGCGTCACGCAAACACCCCCGTGCCGCAAATTTCAAGTGGTACTTCGATTTTGATAATCTATTTTACAACCCACGCGTTGTTATTATTATTATTATTATTATTTTGGTTTTACGTCCTGTCTCAGCCGGTGGGCTATATAAGACGTGCAGGCTAGGCCCGCAAGTATCTACGTAGTGCTATCACTTTGGTGTAGGTGGGGGAGGGGGCTATCTAAATCGAGGTGAGGCTCGTAGCCTAGTCTAGAGGGAGGTAGAAGGGGGTCTTGCGGGTAAAAGAGAGAGGTAGGGTGGGTGTAGGGCGAGGCCACCTAGTATAGGTGTTGCCCTAGTTCTCGAGGTTTCCTTTGTGCCAGGCCTGTGTTGCAGCCCTAGTTTCTTCAATAAAGGCAATAGTAGCCTGTATGCCTACGCTCGTGTTTAGCAGGAAGGCTAGCGATAGGGGGTCCTTGCTCGCCTCCTGCATCTTTATCCTAGCCTCCTTATATAGCGTACAGCTAAGGAGGATATGGGTAGGATCTTGAGTAGCTCTATAGTTGCAGGGGCAAACTTTAGAGTCTACTT